TACTAACTTAGAGAAAATTAGTGATATATTATTACGATATGTAGTGACTATTATAATATACTGTTGGAATTCCACATGAATCTCATACGCATCGTTATAAATTATCACCACGATCTGCATATGATACGAATATCTTTATAATGGATAAGTCTAACCCTGCAAGTGCATACATGAAACGCCGCTGCTACCCATTTATTGTATATTATATTGTATTAAATTATTATGTATAATAAGGGTAGTTGGCCAGATGGCATAGAGGGCACACCTTTCGAGGGTCGAAAAACAATTATTTAGTCGACAAATTTATACTTATGTTCGAATTATTGTTAGTAGGTAGCCACCTAAATACACACAATAATAATGCAACGAAACCCATAAATGGATCTTTTATCATGGACGATAATTATTTTGGTCGTTTGAAAAACTCATACTATTTCGTAGTGCAATTTATATGCACACACTACACACATATTATATAAGATAATACCTAATATAATATAAACAGTGACCGGTTATAGGTATCTGCAAGATTTGTGATGTAGTATTTTAGTAGGTTTTCAGTCACTTTGATTTTTAAAATTTGTATAAAATAAGAAATATATTACTGTATAGGAACAGTTATGTAAACATTTAAATGTTACCAATTCTGGTACCTAGGCTACGCCCTCAATAATATTTAACAACCCGGTACTAGGAAAAAAATGTCAAAGAAAAAAAGTAAAAGATAAAATGAACGTGCGTACTGTAAATAAGTGAAAAGGAGAAACAAATATAAAGTAAGAAACTAAGAACAGTACCAACAGGCTACAGTTAACAATTTATAGTTAATAAAATTGTAATGCGAATGCCGGAATGCTGTAAGAAGGCCGTACTATATATACCTGTACCCGAAATTAACTATAACAGCTGAAAAATTCTTGCGATTCCAATTTACGACATCATTACAAACTTTTGTATTAAAGTAATTTTTCACATTGTCAATGGGTTGGTTTTTCATGGTAAACTAATAGTACCTGCAGTTAATGCATTTGTACCAAATTAACGCTTAAAATCATATTCAATATGTGTACAGGTGCATCATTCATATTTAGGTTCACTGCACCGAGCTAACACTAATCCACAGACAAAACGTAGAATGAAAGAAAATCCTTAGAATATTTCAATAAATTTATGTTTTACAAAATAATTGAAATAAATATAATATAATATATATAAAGCACAATTTAATAATCGTATTTTAAGACACTTCTTTGATCCAACGATTGTTTGCTATAGTAACTGAATACGTAATAAAGAATAAATAAATATGACTAAAGAGTGGAACGTAAATTTTGTCTTTTGCCCTTGAAATTTGTATACTACACCTAAACAGTAAATTGAATACATAATGCCATCTAGTGGACTGAAACTTTCTGCGTGGTAATATAAAAAATCATTTCACACACAATGACGTGTACAATATGGTAATCGTTGGGAGTTTTAATGTCCGCTTGAAATTTGTTCCTGTCCCTTTAAAAATGGACTTAAAATCCCCAAATACATTCAACTTCTTATAATAAATGTTCTGGCCTGAGGTGTTACAATTCAAAATTTTATAAATTCTTAACTACAAAATAGTTTACACATTTTCAAGATTTTCGAGATGCTGACAAATATCATAAACATTTTTTTTAAACTTTAAACGCTCGTATAAAAAAAAAATTGAGACCGCAATTTCGATATTTTTTTATTTGGGTATGTACAATATAAATAAATATTTTATCAAGCATAAATCGAAAAAAAAAATACTAATAAAAAGTAGACAAATTCAACTGTCTATAAATATCACAGAACAAGGAAAAATATATTTTATATTATTATATCATACCTAGAAAATGCTAATATAAATATTTGGTGAAAAATGTAAAGCCAACAGTTTAAAAATTTTTAATAGGTAATAAAAATAATATTTAGTTATGTAAATAACTTACTGACTTTGAAAAAAATTCCAGTATACCTAATTATTTTAAAAAAGTATCGTGAATTTTATTTTAGATCTCCCTAAAGTAACAACTTGATCTAATTTTCTACCATAGTCCATAGACAACACCTTTCCAGTATTTTTGATCGAAGCTTTTTTTCAATCATAATAAGCAGTGAGACACAATAAAAACACATAATCGTTAAACCAATGCATTCGTTGCTCTGCTCAGAATCTAAAAATTTTAAAAGCGTTGAATTCTTGTTCCTTTGGTGGATTTCATTAAACCCATCCAAGTTTGAGAAGGACTCTTGAAAATTAAAATTCTGAACGGAGATGGGAATATATATATTGATTTTAGAAAGTTTTTCTGTTTTGTATGTACATTATACACTATTAACGCTAGAGTGTTGCTCCGGAAGTTTTGTGTAGTAGCAACTTTTGAAATCAGTAGTTTAATCTTATAGCTAATACTTTGAACAGGCTTATTTTGGTTTCTCTAAAAAGAAAGACTAACGGAATATTAAAAGAAAAAGTTCCTATATGGGCATTAGAAATATAAGTACAAAATATTTTATAATAACATGGGCTTAAACAAAAAACTATTTTACAGTTAAAATAATAAATGCCTGAAATATTAAAATTGTATATTTACTGTTTAACCAATATCTTACAAATGGTGCTTGGAGTATTAAATTTAGTTAATAAGTATAGAAAAAATAACGCAAAATGATAATATTGTGTGGTATTATTAAATTTGTTATTTGTGTATTATAAATTTATATGAATCCAAATAATGACGTGTTTGCAAACTTTTAGTTTCTGAATACACTGCAGATTTTCTAATGATGTGTGTTCATCTTTTAATTATTATTTTTGTGTCTGTAGACACTTTTTTTAGAAGAAAAATGCACTTTAGATCTTTCACTTGTAAGTTCTAGGAATAGGTTTATGACAGAGAATTGGATCTAGTACTTTGCACTTTAAAGAGTCAGAAGTAAAAATGGCTGAGTATTTGTCAAAATAATCAAAAACAAAATTTATCAATTTTTAATCATAAATCAAAAAAACAATATCTATTTTGTTGTACTAAATTTAAAGACAGAAAAACAGTTAACACTCAACATTTTCAATAAACATTTAGGTATTTTAATATTTTTCGGATATTATTACATTTTCAACATGTTTTTCTTTTTAACCTTTCAAAAAACAGACTGGTCCGACAGACCATTTTCACTCCAGGGGTTTGCTCAAGGGAGGGACACTTGACAAATATATATATATATATATATATATATATATATATATATGTACTTACATATTAAAATTATGATTATTGTATTTTTAAATTTTAGATCAGGCAATTTGCCTTTTAAGTACCATAATATTTTTATTACCTTGGTTTTAATTTTAAGTGATGTAAGTACCTATTCAAAATGTCCCTCAATTTAATTTTTAATTTTATTGAAAAAAGTAAAAAACGTAGGCAGTTAACTTAACTTATCTGAGTTATAAAATATCATTAACTTGACCAGCCTTGTGAATAAGTATTATTAATACAAATTATACCTATTTCAATATATGCATATATTATATCATAGTATATACCTTACTTAGGTTGATAAAGTAGTAAAACAGTATTTTTCTGTCCAAAAATACATTTTGAAAACAAAGTGTAAAATACTTTTTTACTAAAAAAATATATATAATATTAAATGCCTATGTAGTACCTATGACGTATTCAATAACAGTATAGAGCCCGTGTGATTATTGCACTAATATACATATTACAGTCTACAACAACATAATATATATTATTAATTATATTAAAAAACGCACACATATTTTTTTTTTATACTTTTAAAATATTATAATATATTTATGAACATGAACTTGATTTTTTTTAAGATAACACCTAAAATAGATGATAATTGCGATATAATTATCGATACTCATTGGCCGTCGTTCATTCACTATAATATATAGTTTTTTCATGGTATTCATTCGTATAATGCTATTTTCTTTACAGTAGGATAAATATGTACGTTCAGCAGCACCTCCCCCTTAAATTTTACATGTAAAAACATAGGCACTTCTGTATAGGCAATTCAAAGTACACGCACCTCCCAAACTTGTATTAATTACTCAATATAGGCAACCCGCAACACACTTAAACTCGTCACACCCGATCCGACACGTGATCGACATATATTTTACGCCTTCTCCTCTAAATACATTACCTCCCCTTTTATTTACCCTTTAAAAAAAAATATAATATTCCGATGTACATTTGTATCGACTGTACATTTGTTCAATAACACTTGTCTGACATATATTTTACCCCTTCCTAATCAAATACATTACCTCCCCTCTTATTTTCCTTTTAAAAAAAAAGATGAAGTGAAGGTGAAGTGACAAATCAATGATCGGGGGACGGAGTGACAACAAATTAAGCAACATTGATCATAGTCTATAGGACATATACATATATACATTTTTAAGAAATATTACGGTGTGTTCGAAATGTATAAAGACAGTATATTTATTATTTAATATGTCTTAATAATTATAGTCAATACCTATGATTAGTCTTCATCGTTTTTGAAAAAAAAAATGAACCAATACAAGTACCTAGTTGTATTTATACATTTTTATAAGCCAAAAAAAAATTAAAGGCCTGTAAAATTTTAGTTATTTTTTAAATTTTAAATAGGTAATTCTTTTAGCAAATTTTGAGATTTTAGCAATATAGTCGATAAATAAACAAAAATGTAGACCTTTCCAAATACGTTATGAATAATAATAATCAGTGTTAGTAGAACAAAAGACAAAAAAATTTTGTACTGCATATTTACGTGTAAGGGTTAAAACTATTAAATGTTATAAATGTATAAATATAAGTTACCAAACCTAACCCATAGCTTGTTAAAAATGAAAGTCCCGGGATCGAACCAACGACGTAACCTGGGCTAGATATACTTAGAATTTTTTTGTTCCCTAAACCATTGATGAACTATACATTAATTTTATTATTATTATATTATCTCATAAAGTTAATTTTGTTACCAATGTTAAAACACGAGTCTGGTAAAAATGTACAAGTGTTGACATATACATTTGAATATTTTTTTTTATTAAATTTTTCCGAAGTCTTTGTTAATTTGAACATTTTGAACCTTACATTTCTATAACGCTTAACAATCTCTTCAATAATTTCCAAATGCAGTATTAAAGATATTTCACTTTCTAATACGAAGTAAGCATAATCAACATCTCCTGTTCCTTTTCCTATGACAAAAAAATAATATTAGGTAGGTACCTATACTGTTGATTTTATTATTAATTTAAATTATCGTATCATATATATTTAAAAATTAAGTAAACTTTAGTTACCGAGAACATATTCATGATCTTTAAATGTTTTGATAAATGAAATAGTGCTACACTTATTTAATTCCATCAAACTCAGGTGTTTAAAATATGAAGAATTTTTAATTGCTATTGCATTTTCATTCCACTGAAGTTGCAAATTATCTTTGATAATGTCCGTGAAATCATTTTTCGATATGCTATTCAATTCCACCGCACCTTTATAATATTCATAAATATATTATAAATAACTATAATTTGCAGCTTCTGAATATCATACTTGTGTTATAACATATTATTATAATGGTCGACGGACAACACATTTCTATTGAGCATTTTTTATATACATAGTTACAAAGTTACAAGTTTACAACATGAGGAATTTTTAGAACCAATAAAATTGTTTAGTATCCGCATAAAAAAAAATGTTTACTTAATGATTGAACAGAATTGGTTCTAAGTGTGTTAAACATAACAGCACTTTCGCCAAAAGAATGTTTTTCCTTCAATTTGCAACGTTCAGTGTTATCCATAAGTTTAGTAACAGAGTTTTGTACATCTTCAGTAAACACCACATGTCCTTTGACAATTAAATACATATTCGTCGATAAATGCCCCTGTTTCAGTATCCATCTACCAGGGCCATAACATTTATACGTTGCCCTTCTTATTAGAGCCATTTTAATATCCTAAGACTAAATTATTAGTGTAGGTATATCTAAAATATTAATCAAAAGTTTCATATTGATGTGTATTACATATAGCATTGGTCTAGATAATATGGAAACACTAACCACTAACCAGTAATTTCTTTAAAATTATGGTATCGCTGCGGGGCGGAGGTATGAGTACGGTTTTAGAACGTTTTAGAACGAGAGCAGCACGTCATGACTACAACAAATTTGTAATATTTTTTACTAAAAAATCGAGTTTGTACTTTCAAGTTTCAACATTAGGTACCCAGGCATCGTTGGTTTTTAAAAAAAAATATTTGTATTGTATTAAGTTGGTTTTAATTGAATTAAAAACAAGTCTAACGTAGTAACATACATTTTTCTATGAGTGATTGAATTGGAAAAATTTTGAAGGAATGTCATCCACTCATCCCAAAGAAAGTTTTTGGTTCTTTTCACCGTCAGTGTACAATATTGATTCCACATATTTCACATTATTTTAAATCGGAATATTTTAAATTTAATATTAAGAGACACTAAAACTAACGATGCGATGTTTACTAACCCTGTCAATAATAATATCGCAATGTAGTTTTATATTTTTATCACAATTAGTTTGATTGTAAATACATAGGTAGGTATTGCACTATTCTAGATTTTCCGAAAAAAATATTTTTCTATCTTCATACAATTTTACTCATTATATTATATTTTACTTTTTCCATTATTACCAGAGACCGGTTTTCGTGTCGGAAAAACTAGTATTGTGGTAATTGGGTGTCAGCGGATAGGAACTGAACCGTTGGATCCGACAAAATGTTATATTTTGATACTTGAAATCTTCCGATCAGGAAAACCATGTTCCGCGATGAGTAGGTATATTTTGGACGATTGTCCATAGTTTCTTTACTACATCTTCTAATCGATTTTCTGTATTTCGTTAACAACAACGCCATCTATGATCCGATAGTAAAAATTGCTAAAGGGCGGATAAAAGTGGAACAAATCGCGAGCTTTTGTTATAATAGTGGCATTATGGAAAGATGTCGTTGCCAGTATTGAAATAACGACGAAACAATAATATTATTTATAGCAAAATAATGAAGAACATTTAGGTACCTATTGTATGAATAGGTAGATAGGTAACATATGTATTATTTTCGTGAAACTTTGAATTGTTGAATCCGTCTTGTATATCCATTATTTCAGACTACGCTGAATATGTCCGGGTAAAAATTGACACACTTACCTAATCCACTCTTTTCTTATCAACAAAGACCGTCCACCAACCTTCCTAAGCCTAACCAATATAATCAAAAATATTTTTCAAGAATTCTCAAGATATGAATCTAGGTGCAGAACTGTAAACATTCCACAAACTGTTAAAACTTAAAGAAACCAAACTTTTAAAGTAATTTATTTCTAAATAATATATATATGTATGTATATATCTAAATGTAACTTACTAAATAAACTCTAATAATTTTAAACAATATTCACTGACATTCCAGTGGCGGATCCAGGGCTTAATTTTTTTTTTTTTTTGGAGTTGGGGTGGGGGGTATGGAGGGGGCAAAAGTACAAAAAGTACATACATTTGTTACAAAATTAGCTAAACACAGTGTAAATCAAAAGGAAACTACGGTGATTGGGGGGGGGGAATGCTCCCTTTGCCCTACCCCTGGATCTGCCACTGTGATACTCATATATTGTGAATAATCAATATTTATTTTTAAATATGGTTTTTGGTTGGTAAATCGTTGTGTGAAGCGAGAAACTTTCACACGTATAAGATAGGCACTTACGATGGGCCCAATGAGACCAATGACGTCCCGCAGATATTCTAAATTTCTTAATATATCTTAAAGTAATATTTTTTTTACATCGGATTTTCACCAAATAATTTCATACAGCCATAAATAAAATAATTTAACATTTAAAAAAAATTGAATGAACATTTTTTTGGTGTTATGTGCTCTTTAATGTTATTAAACTTTAAAAAAAATATTTGTTTAAGTATTTTGAATACTTTTAAAAGAAAGTATTTGAATACGTGTTTTAAATACAAATTACACCAAGTATTTAATTACCGATTCTGAATACATTTGAAAAGTATTCTTAAGAAGACTACCATCGACCGCCTTCGTACAGAGTAGGTCAAGTGTAAGTTCAACTGTCGGAAATATTTTAACATGCACTTGAATCATGAAAAAAAGTGTTCGTTGCGAATAAGCGACTATCAGTGGCTTAATTACGGTGGGGGGATTGAGGTGTCGTGACATTTTTTTTAAACCCGGAAAACCATATTTAAATTTTAAGTAATTATTCAACATTTCAACCATAAACATTATAGTTTATATCTAATAGGTATTAGCCATTAGATACCTATACTATAATCTAACAGATTGTGTTAAATCCGTTTAAAATTTAAAAACGTAAAATAATAAAACACCATTCGACCACAAGTGATTATAATATCGTCTTTATTTTTAATTTTTGTTTTTCAAATGAAACTAGTTTAAAAAAAACTGTCACGATTCGATAGAATGGATACTATGAGCGGCATGAGCAATCAATCACGATGTCGTGGGTTCGATTCTGGTCGAAGAAGTTAGATTTTTGAATTTTTTTCGGGTATATTTATTTATTTGCTATTTTTATTTTGTGCAAACCATAGAAACGTGCGTGTCGTGAAAGCCGACCTTGATGATTTTTTTTGTACCCTTTGTAAAGAAGTTTCACTTCATCCACGCCAGTGGCTTAATTTGGTCATGTTTTTTGGGGTCGATTGAAATATTTACATTGGTATATACCAGCGGTTCTTAATCTTTTGTAGATCGCGGACCCCTGATGAAATATTTTTAGAAATCGCGGACCCTCTTACCAAATTTTTTACAAAACATCTCATGTTATCATAACCAAAATTATAATAATTATTTTATATTAAAAATTACATTAGTAGACAACAAAACATACACATTTCCAATTATTTTTATTACAATTATTTTTTTATAAAAATGTAATATAAAACTATAATTGAGTACGATACTACGATCGATCAACTGCAATTATAGTGATAGTAAATATAAGACTGCCGAGACTATAGTTCTGCAGTACTACAGTACGCATGTACATTTCGTATGAACAAGAAAAACTGATTACCTACTTAATAAATAATAATAATACAATTATTTGGTGTAGAATCTACATATTATATATGAAAAAAAAAAAATAATAATCCAATAATATTGTAATAATGCACTCTGTCACTTATTGATGTATATGTTATGTATTGAGGCTGCCGCGGGCCCCCGACATGAGTATCGCGGACCCCCAAGGGGCCCCGGACCACAGGTTAAGAACCACTGGTATATACCGTACTTTAATAAATTTGTGAAATAGTGATTAATGTGTATTATGGAATAATATATTTATTTTAGCTATTGTACAGCTAGGGAAGACGGGTTCTTATGTATTATTTCTATAAATTAATATGATATTATAGTTTACTTTACGATACCCTAGTACCCTACAAGTTACCCTTACCAACCGATGGACAATAAAATAAATTACGTTACCACCGCAACCAAAAGAAAAACGGACCAGCTAATTCTGGATACAATTTTTTTCGTATGGTTGCCCCCAGCAACCAGCTGATGCATAATATAATAGTAATTACGTCGTTACTATAGCAACCTCATTGATACATTTTCTTTAGTCAAAGTTTATTTTAAAATTCTATCTATGATTCAATGTTTTTCCGTGTAGCACACTACGTATTTTTGTATAGCACGAGTTTATTTTTGAAATACATGTAAGCTGTAACTCAAAAAGTTAGTAAAAAAAAATCTGATAAACATCTTAACTACATTAATATAATATTGACAAGAAGGCTACGATGGTTATAGGCACGAGATACCTACCTAATATTTATTTATGATTAGTCAAGCGCTTTCTTTAACGAGTGGCTCGAATAAATCAACCAGAAGTAGCAAACATAAAATTGTCAAACATTTAACGCCAGTCGTAAAACAATTCTAGAATTAATTATACACATAAATAAAATTTATAATTACAATATAGAGCCATACATAAAATTGGAAAAAAAATATTAAAAGTAATTTAATAATTATTATGTCTTATATGACCTTTGATAACAAATATATTCTTCAAGGCCTCGTACTTAATCATTAATCAAACAAGATTACATTTTGAAAAAAGGTAGTCAGGCGGGTACTGCTCAGCTGTACAGTAGTTAATAGTTATCAAGCATATCTTTATAATGGATGTGTTATATTTGAATTCAATGATAAATCATTGTATACGAAAATGATTTTGAGCGGAGACGTTGTGCCAGCCTTGCAAACTTGTATAAATAATCAAATTTAATAGTTAAAATAAAAATTTTAATAAAAATCTAAAATATCTAATGGCTTTAAATAGCGTAACTTTCCGGTAAACTTTTTCTGTTTGATAAAGGTGGTAAAACTTCTTAGGAACCTTCTATTAAAATTTTTCGTGTCAGTTATGAAAAGAAAAACTTAAATGAATTTCTTACTTAAAAATAAATTACAAAATTTGAAATATTTTCTCATGGATAGAAATGGCTCATAAAGAGTCAAAATTGTTTGAAAGTTTTATCATGTATATGGAAAATGCTAATATAAAGATTTGGTGAATATTTTAAGAGTCTACGATTATTCGAGTTGGAAATACAATAAAATCTTAAAAATCGATTAATGGGAATACGATCCCTTTTTGCATATCAAATATCGTAAAATGTATAAGTTCAAACGCTCATAAAAATTTAATGTTCCGTTTAAAAAATAATAAAAATAAAAAATAATTGAGCCTATGTATATCTTTAATATTTTTAAATTCCATTAATAAAATGTATAAGGAACTCAGCATTACATTTTCAAGCTTTTTCGCCAAGTGTAAAAGTTTTTATCAAGAAAAATTTTAAAAAAATTTACAAAATTTGGAAAATTTCTTAAGGCTATTAT